ATTGTGCTGGAAGCAACTTGAAAGTATGTGTAGTTGCTGGTTGTCCTTAGATGAGTGTGTGAAGACCTCTACCTTATAATGCTTCCTCCAGCACCAACAAGGCATTCACACATCAAGATGTGGTTTGTATGTATACATACACACACATACAAACGCTTGGCGTGGGGGATGTTCCTTTAATAGTGTTAGGAAATTCTGCAGATGTCGTTACGGACATGTTCATACTGGCTCTGATTCTTGGCAGACTAACCCTTCCGTGCTGTTGAACTGGAAAAAAAAAAAAAAATCTTTCATATCACTTACACTGCTTGCAGTTTGCTGACCAAGGAAAAGGAGGCACTAACAGAAAAAAAGTCGGAATGCCCCAAGATTCTTGTGCCATGCTTTCACAGGTGCAATTTCTGCCTTGTGGCCTTTTTGTCATTGACCCGAGTCTGTTTTGTTCAGGGTCAGCTCTCTGTTGCGTACACTGGCTTTGCCCAGAAAATGTACTAGAAAATTGGACTGTGACTAGGTCAATAGTAAGGCTTAGTTGTCAGCAAAGGACTTTTTCTTTTCCATAATGGAACACTTGACTTTTTTTTCTAACTGGCATTTTATGCAATCTATAAAAGCAGACAAAACAAAAAGAGAACATTTCATAATAGTCTGACATGTGCACTGACAAGCACAAGTGCAGTTACGGACACCAGAGTTTGTAGGAGGGAGTCTGTAGCTGTAATTGCAAGTGGAAGAGCAGAAACAACACTGTGCCAAGGGGAATAGGTAATACATTTTTAACATCATGGGACAAGCACTGAGTGTACTCTGCTGTGCATGCACCCTCGTCTAGGTCTCTGCTATAGTTCACTAACTTTTAGTTTTGCTCAAGTTGTACCCATATGGTTTGTAAATGCACCTTTGCTTTTGAGTAATAAGTGACACATGGCTTCTTTGGCAACTCAAGGCTTGACTTTTCATCTTGACACCCTTGGGCATCTGGCAGATGACAGATGATAGATTTAGACAAACAGTAAGAGCTACAGAGTACCTTGCATATGTGTTTATCTTAACTTTTTAATGCAGTCCAAATGTTATTTATGTATTTAAAGGAGACCAGTTGGGAATGGCATTCACATACAGTAGGACAGCTGATGCTGTTGCTCTAATTACTTGTTTGGTACAGTTACTAGCAAGTTTATAATTTCCTGAGCATGACTAGGTCTACTGAATTAAATCAGTGTGTTTGGAAACAGGGAGAAAGAGGAAACCAACTGGTAGTTTAACAATAGGCAATAGATGTAAACCAGAACTTATTTACTCGATACATTATTTTAGTCAGATTGAATTTAGTTGGGGGGTATGCTGCTTTTTTTTTTTTTTTATTAAGACAGCCATTTGCTTTGTTAAATACTTCCAGCAGCAAGTTCTTTAGTGTATTTTCTAGACTGAAGGTAATTATGTTATTTTCTGTGAAATGCTGAGTTGTTAAATGTGCAGTATTGCAGTGTGTTAGAGGAATGGGAATTATTTCTTTGTATGTTTTAGAAAATACTCTTTTCCATTAGTCAGTGCTCCTAATACTTTTTTTTTTATTGCAATAACAGAGATGTTGATACTTTATATATTTGCAGGAGACATTCGTTTTGAGGAAATACTTGTTATTATTTATTTACAAAAAAACTTAGCATGGAAAGGTAAATTTGGGTGCAAGTATCTGTTATTTTTAAAGCCCTGACATTACGATTAAAATCTAAATTTGTGTTTATTATTTTTAAATACTGCATTGCAGAATTTCTAACATCCCTTGGTTTGTTTTCATCAGAACTACATTTTGTGCCCAAAAATGTATTCACATACCTGTTTCTTCAGCTCATTTTTCCTTATTAGTACAGCAGCATAAGTATGCATCTAAAGAAATATAGACACGTTCTCTGTGCAGAGGAGCTAATAATTCAAGGGTTACTCCTGCAAAATTTACACAAAGTACAGTCCTACCCTGCTGTGAAAAGGTTTTCATTTATGAGTGGGACAAATGTTACACTGATGTTGGCAGACAAAACTAGCTGATGATGACAGCAGAAAAATGACAGGTGGACTGTTATTGATAGGATATTTTCCTGTATGAATATGATTTTGAGAATTTTTTTTACAAATTTATTTTTTCTTTTAAATGGAAGACAAACTTCTGGACAAAATATTAAAATAATTAGATTGATTTTTTTCTCCTTGGATCTGTGGTTTGATTACCCTGAATTGTTGTTTCTTCTCTCTTGGTTGGTAGGTTACTCCAAATTTCCCATAGTGTATCGATTTAACCAAATGTACTTAGATAATACTGTGCTTTTGAGAAATGGGTGTGAAGAAGAAAAATGTAAAGTTCTCCAGAGAGCAGAAACTTGTAAAAATTCATCAAAAAATGGTTTTGATGGAATATTTTGACATGTTCTGGATGTAGGAGTGTGTTTGTATGATATGCTTTTGTCTGTGATTTCCACCTGCCTATGCATATATATTAACATTGTTGGGGTATGTCTATGTAGGAGAGAAGTTGTTTTTTAAGAGCAATGTAGGACCAGACAGCAATCTGTACATGACTCTGAAACAGATGTCAGAATTGATGGAGAAGTCAAAAGTGACCACTGAGGAGACAGAAGATGAAAGCAAATAATAGAATACTGCTGGGAAGCATGATTTAATTGCAGTAGATGATGGGATGAAACCAGAACAAAATCAATAAATATCAAGCAGAAGCACATGAAAAAGTAGAGAACCAGGCTATCTTTAGCGTAATCCTCCCATCCCATTCCCCACAAACATCCAGAGGGCTCGAATTTCTGTCTCCCTGACCTGCTGGGGTAATAAACTGGTGAATATGCATGAAATAATCTTTCAGTTTACCCTTTCTTTCATCTGTCTCATCAGATGTTTTCAGAATGGAGGGGTAAAGATATGCAAAGGGAGATGACCAGGTCATAGAATGAAAGAGAAATGGTTCATAGCCCCATAGAATGAATGAGAAATAGTTCCAGCCCCGTGAATTTGCAAAACACATCCCAGTGGTGTTGGGATGCACTGAATCAGATCATGCTGGCTGAGAAAAGCAGACAGAACAAGAACCTCAAACGGAAAGGGGGTTTTGATTTGGCGAGAGTTCATAATATGGGGAAAGAGAGCTGTAACACTTCATAAAGGTTGTCTTTAAAACAATTATAAATGTTGCTATTTTGCAACTTTTTGTTAATGTAGTAGCTAAGATCAACTAAAGGAAGTGAAAGAAGTTTAAGTAGTTACACTTCCCGGCTGGTCAGACTGATCTTGTCTGGAGAATGTGGATTTCATAATACATTTAACTTGGCACCCTGGGATTTTTTTCTCTGCTTGAAATGTTTTTTTAATGAAAAGTTGCATTTTAGACACAAAACCTTATGTAAACACTAGCCAGAAGAATTTGATATTTAACTTACTTTGCTGGAGAGAAGAGCCTCTCCAGGTAGTATACTTTTATTAAACTCACAAAATGAAATTCATCATTTTAGAACTCAAGCCTGGATTGTGAACTGTGAGGGGGTTTTGTCTTGCACTGATATATGTTCAGTTGTGCTCAGCACAAAAAAAACCCCAGTGAAACCCCTCTGAGCACCTGGATTAAATGAATTTTTGAATTGCTAATTGTTTAAGATTGACCTGGTAAATGTCCAACAGCTGTCTAAGTTTTTTGTGGTACACAATTGCGCTCTGTTTAGAAACAAACAAACAAACAAACTCCTCCCATGGCCAAGCAATTAATTCATGCAGAAAAAGTGGTGCTTTATGACTTAAAACACTAATTTATCATACACAGGGATGAACCTAGCCCAAAACCAGGTAACCGAGTAGATACTACATGATGAGTTGCAAGCAAATGAGATATAATTGAAAATGTTAGCATAATTGTAACTGAGAGGGATGTCCCATGTTTTGAGAGAATGTCATGTAAGAAGAAGTGACATTAAGATTTAGCTTAATCAAAGATAAGCTTAGTCCTACGGTGAACTTTTCTGTCTGACCAATAAAGTGTTTCCAGATAGTACCTGCTGATAATTAATGCACATCATACAGGTGCATGAATCTGAATTTTATTCACTGGTGTGAAATATGTAAATATATATATATGTAAGTATATATCAGCAGTACAAGTTACTGATCATCTTCATTTTTCATATCATGCCTGTTTAAGAGTACTAGCACTACTGAAAATGTTTTGAATCATTTGGAGAATATATACCTTTGTTGTATTAAGAAAATATGAAGGTGAGATTACCTATTCCAAGTCCTCATTTGAAATTATGAATATGCCTAAGTAACTTGCCCAACTAGTCATATATTTTAAATATCATGCCAAACTACTGCTTTAGTGCTTCATTAGACTAGATTATAAGGATCTTTTCTTTTTGTCCATTTTTGTTTACATATTGTGTTGTGCATTTAGCATTCATAATGGACTAGAAGGGTTGGACTAGATGACCTTCCCACCTCAGGAATACTGTGATTTATAGTGTCTGTGAAACAGTGATGCTCTGGTTCACGGTATAGAATGATACCCAAACAATACTTAGTGCTACCAGACAACTCAAGAAGAAGCTGCTAAGAGCACCCTAATAAATGAAAAGTATCATGCATTACAAAGTCTTTTAGTTTCAAGTATGGTGTTTCTTTTCTTTTCCCAATCCAATATGATGTAATGCTTCCTCTGAGTCTTCAACACCTCTTTCTTGGTACAGCTGGATAGCATAGATGCAGAGCTACAGACACTGTATAAAAGTTGTTTCTAAGGCTGCGTTCATACCACTCTTCTTCTGACTTTTTCTGATGTCTGATTCTGAATACTATATCCTGTTTTCATTTCACATTCTTCTCAGTGAACTAGTTTCTTAGTAGTCTTTTGTAGATGTCTTTTTGTGGGAAAAGGCTTGTTCATTAAGCAGGTGAGGGGGAAAAGAAGAATTAATAATCAAATCTTCTGTGCTATTTCCAAACAGGGACGGAGAGGCTTAGGTTCAGTCTTTGTTTGGGCATCTGGAAATGGTGGAAGAAGTCGAGACCACTGCTCCTGTGATGGCTACACCAATAGCATCTATACTATCTCCATAAGCAGCACAGCTGAAAGTGGGAAGAAGCCATGGTATCTGGAAGAATGTGCATCCACACTAGCTACAACATACAGCAGTGGGGAATCCTACGACAGGAAAATAGTACGGGTTTTAAATTTTTTTTTATGTATATGCATTTGTGTTTTACATAGTGACTTTGGGGGAGGGAAAGAGAGCTGATTTATACTAATTAGTGGACTGCTTTAGAAAAAAATCATATGTCAACAGGTTCATTTAGACACAGCGTGTTACTCTGTTGGAGTCACCATATTCTTTGAAACAAGCGTGGGTATCTCTGCATTTTGCAGTGTAATGCAGTGCAAGTATACCCAACTCATAGCAAGTTTTTGTATTCATCTAGTTGCTGCCAACCCTGAGTGAATCTTTCAAAGATCCTATTGCCACTGCCACTGAAACAGGTTTCCTTCATTACCAAAATCTTGTAGCCCATCTGTAGGCCTCAGAACATGTTCTCCTTTTGGTTTTAATCCAGTTATAAATAACTTTCATATTTTATACACATTATATTTGCAGTTTTCATACATACCTATTTTATTTTGATCCAGCATCATTCCTCTTTTACATTCTGTGATGGTTAGGTGTTACTAGTGTTGCTGCCTGTTCAAGATGCTGATATATTTATTGTAAGGAAGAATAAGCCTGGTGCTCACCTTTCCTCTATTGTTCCTCATCTTATTCCTAAAAAGACAGCATCCATTTTGCATTATGTTCTCATCTTGGTGGAAGCTGGCAAATGGTTTTAATTGTGTTTGATAATCTCTTGATACCATTAGTATTGTGTGCTGTATCTGCTTTTTCAAATTGAGTGCCTTCAGTATACTTTCCAATATTCAATATACTTCTTCTTCTAACTTTCTAAACCCTTATACTAGGATTAATCGGGTTTGCTAATATTGTCCTCTTCTCTGCTTATTTATTCTAGTGTGTAATTTACAGATGCTAATTTCCTCCTAATCAGAAGACATAGAGATTTTGGTTTGTGGGTTGTTTGTTTTGGTTTTTTTTTTTTTTTCCCCTGGATGTTTTCTTAAGTATCCATCTAATATTATCTTCTTTCTGGTCCTTAGCAGACACTTCTCTTGGTGCCAGTAAGGAGTTAAAAATTCTTGCAGCTATGTTTATTTTAATACTGTCCGCCTTGTCTTTCAGGATTCTGGGATGCTAGCCATTCCTTCTTGGATTCTTCCTTATTTTCAGATGATCTAATTTTTGTTTTAAAATTGTTCTGAGGTACTTCTTCGTTCCAGTAATTTTTCTGTTCTTAACTTGCTTCTCTCCACTGAAACCTTATCTTTCTTCATTGCATGGTTTTGCTGTCCCGGATAAACAATAGTAAAGACAAGAAATTACTCTGTCTCCTAGCAGTCTTAATTTCTCTTTACATTTACTCATCTCTCATTACATTCCCTCTACTGTCATTTAAAAGACCTTCACTAACTTCTTCATGTTTAAGTGAGACTAATACAATACAAGGTGAGCAGAGATGACTGCGGTTCCCCAGCCTGACCTCTTGCTTAGCTGAGTCTGGAGGACTTCCGTGAGTCCTTCAGATCCAGCAGTTGCTGTCAACTTGACAATAATTTTTATAAATATAATCTTGCTTTCAAAGTTTCCAGTGATAGAAAATCCACTTAAATTTAGGGCACATGGTTTTAATTACCTATTGTCATTAAAAGATTTCTCTGTTTGCTATCTAGCTCCTCTAGCTTCAATTTCTAGGTATTTAGTAGTCTCACAGATTTTGTTGCTAGTATGAAGAGCACTTCAGTTGTCTAACATCTTTCTATCCAGGTAGCCTGATCTGTTAATCCCTTTTGATAAATGAAGTTTCCTGCATCATTCTGTGTAAGGCATGTTTTCTTATAAACCCTCTCCCATTTTATGAGCTTTAAGCACCCAAACCGGACACACCAGTGAAGTAGTAGCAGTATCAGTGCCAAATGCACAGGAAAATGTGTATTTGTGAGTGCCAGCTCACATATACATTATATATTATATTATAAATTAGGCTTCGCTGGGACTTGTTAGCTTCACTGTCACATAATGTGTTCATCATTTTGTGACACCCAACCCACTTTCAGAGCTCCTGCTTCTCTTTTTCAGAGTTGGTCATCCAAGGACAGATACGAATGTAGTTATGGTCTTTTTATTGCATCATTTATCACTTTCTCTTTTTCAAAGTTTCATGAAATACAACATGCATCAGAAGATTCTGGTGTTTTACTTCAGGTCTTTGATAAAAGCTTTAGGTCATACTAAGGTCAAGAACCAAGTTATAGAAGACCTGATTAAAAACAAGGCTCATTTCTTATATGTCCTATAAGCATATATATAATTTCTCTGCTTCTAAGTATATATCTGATTTCTTACATATGCTTACATTTTGAAACCTCATAACTATCCCATTTTAAATCTACATATTATATATCATGTACATTTTTAATCTCTTAAATATTTTTTTTAATGTGCAGTATCACATTATGTGTCCTGTAGAATCCTGACTGTACTAATTTCAATTACAGTGGTGGCCAGAGAAAAAATACTCCAGTACTTTATGTTGTCCACCATTAAATATACCACTAATTAACTAATTTAGTAATAATTAATTTAAATCCTGTATCAGCTCTTTTATACTAGATAAAAACTTGGCAAATAAATGAAATTTATAAGGACAATACACTTACCCTTTCAAAATATTGACACTGTGCCAGTTTTCTTTCGATCTTGTGAAACTTTTCCAGTGTTCAAATACTTGCTAAAATCAACAGTAGAGTCTGACATGTTCCCTTTCCAGCTCTTGTAAAAGTCTTTGATGCTTCCAAACTTTCTGATTTAAACTTGATATTTAAAATATTATGATCTACGTTTTATCATGTTCGTATGCTCTGAAAGCTTAATTTAGACTTTATTCCAAAGAGGAAGATTCAGTGAAATAGTCATTTACTATACACTGCTATTAACTATTCTATTATTTCTGGACAAATAAAAGAGTATTGGTTTGCGGGTTCTTTTGCTTCTGCTATGTTTGAAAATAAAACATCCTTATACTTCATTCTGTTCATGTAGGCTTCACCATTTGATCTTGTCTTTCTGTACCACATCTGTGCACCTTCTGTCTTCTAATTTACTATCCACTTTGTCTTTAATTCACTTATATTTACTTATTACTTCCTGCATGTGTCAATACTTGTTTTGTTGACCAGTATATCCTTGCTCTTTTTTTTTAAATCTAGTAAAATATCAGTATGTTTCTCAGTACTTATTTGTAGTTTTCTACTTAGCTGATTTAATCTTTGTGCATTCCTCTGATTTGTTTAATAACTGTAGTTTTCTTGATGATTGTCTTCCATTCTTTTCAATAATCATGGACTTTCTGCTTTTACAGAATTACGATTTCAGTAAGAGAACATTGCTTATTTCTGACATGTCACTCCCTTATGACTTACACTAGTATCAAAAACACCTGGAGGTGATCTCACCTTTATTGTTAAAGACATTCATATGAAACATGAATATAGATTTTTAGTTTCCTGAAGTATAGTACCCATCACTTCTAGAATTTATGCACTCTGCTAATATTTGAAGATTTATATTTTACTGTAAGATTTTTGAAAGGTATACTTTACAAAGGAGAGATTAATTATTATATATAGAATGAACATACATTATCTCATAATTAGGGAAATAATGAAGAGATTTTACATAAATATTATCAAAAAGATTTAAAGATATACCTCTTTAAATATGTTCTTAATGCAGAGTCTCTATTGGAGATCTCACACAGACTATCAGAGATAAGTGAAAATCACTTCTAATTGAAATCTATTACTGTTGTAAGCAGTGATTGCTTTTACTAATCAGATCTTCCATTCTTTTGGGAGCAATCCAGTTGCATACGCCAATTTTAGTCTATTCCTTCAGAGTGCATCATTTTGCACAAGAGAATGGTAAAAGCATAAACATACTGAGGAGCCAGAAGAATTAACCCAAATCTGTTGATCCTTTGTTTACCAGAACTTAATTTACCCTTGTCTACTCTTGTGCAAAGCAACTTTGATGTTGCAAGTGCCATAAAATTCACTGACCTCAAATTCTTGAATATCAGACCACAAATATTCCCTATAAGACTCTTTTTTTTTTGTATTATATTGTCAGTTAACTTCTGAAACACACAACCTATCTTGAGGGCATTTTACTCCTGGTACCAGGCAAGCATGTCCCCCCTCCAGATGCCTTCAGTGATGAAGCAGAACAGTGTACAGGAGATGCAGTCATTAGCTTTCTGTTGGTGCTGTGTGTAAACCAGTTATCCCCATAAGGGATAATACATGCCTCTGTTATGCTACAGCCTATTGAGAAATGAAGTTAAATTGTGAAGCCAGATTTTCAAACTGAGCATTAAGCAGTCCTTTCAGCAGGCACACACATGGAGACAGGGACATTGCTCTCACCTGTGTGACTATCTTGTTCATATCCTGATTTTGAGAGCAATAATGATAGTATTGCTATTCTCTTCTCCAACTTGTCTACTAAAATCCAGTCCTCCTAAAGACCTATCAAACCTCATTTACCTTGGAAAGAAGTCTTGTTTGAAACAAGAACTGAACTAAAGACAGAACTGAAAATTTTGAGGACAAATTTTTTCAACTGCTACAAAATGCTAAGAGTACAGAATAAGGAAGATGTGTATTTGTTTTCATTGTTGTACCATACATCCTTTTCACCGCATCGTAGATCACATTTTTGTTTAGAATGCTGCTCCTTTTGAGTCAGAGATTGTCTTCATATCTTTACGCAAAAAGCTTAGAGCTTGCAGTAAGTTTAAAGGGAAAAATAGCAATAGAAAAATAATAGATTATTATTAAATTTAAATTCTCCAAATTCTATTCTAAATTCATATACAGTATACAAACAGTGACCAAATGTTAGGCACTCATTGTGTGGACAAAAAATTCTTTAAAAAATGTTTTGGTGTCATTATGGACAAATAGAAACATAGGGTGTAACAATTTTAGAGGTTTTTCTAGCCTGAAGGTTTTTATAGACTTGTACAATGGTAGCTTAACAATTTCGTCTATGCAGCTCTCTTTTCCATATGGAGGTTTTTTTACTGACTTTGAACTAAAGTAAACAGAAAGATATTCTGGCCTGAAATACTTCAAGCTAACATTTAATAGTAAACTCACTGATGTTACCATCTTGTATGAGTTCCTTGTTGCTCAGGGAAGGTACTCCAAGTGTGCTTGACTTTATGCTGTACCAAATTTTATTCAGTAACTGTTATCCCATTATGGACCAAGTTTCCAATCTTTGGGTGGTATTAACATGCCCAAAACATACAAGCAGATGCAGCTGGATGTATGTGTTTTACACAGACTCTTAGAGAAGAGGACTAGAATTACTTTTAGGTGTTTTCAAGACCATCTGCAAAGTGCCAGCATAGAAACTCACTCTGGGACAAAGGCAAATCAACAGTAGGTAAAGACCATAGAAATATACTTCTTTGTAGAGGTTATCTCTCATAACAGAGAGTGTGCAGAACCGTTGGCTAATAATATACAATTGTCAAGGTATTTTTTTCCTATTATTCTCTTCTCTGCTATTTTGAATATTATCTGGCAGTGCTGGAAGATAGCTTCCCCACTCCGGGCTATGCAGCTAGGATTAAGTATCACCTAATGTAGTTATCTGTATGGGCCTTTAATTTATCAAACATGTTGCACAAATGCATCACATTTCCTTTTAATTCCTTTTTCAAATTATTTCTTAAAGCACTAAGGAATTTACATATGAAAGTCTCTCACAGATATAATTTGTAAATCTATGGCATGACTTACCTCCTGAAAATAACCTCGCTACTTACTGTTCCACCTATTTCTTTGTTTTCTAAAAAATGCCAATTCATCTGCTGAGTTTCTTTCTTTTCTAAGATATATTTCTGCCTAGCTGACTAGCTTCTGCTCCAAGCAGAACTTAAAAGCAACAAATAAACCCTATCTCCTGCCAGTTCTTAAAACACAAGCAAAAACCTGCTCTCATTCAGAAATTCTTTCAGGGTATCAAGATACACACAACATGGCACCTTCAGTTTTTGATAGATATGGATACACAAAGGATGTGAGAAGGAATGGTACATTTTTTGTAAAGCCTTGTCACTTCTAGGAACACAGGTTCATAGAAGTCAACATGTCTTGAAGAATTGTAGCAGAAGGTGAAAAATGGTTCCATCAGTTTAGAAAGCTCATGTCATGAAATATAGCAAGAAATGCAGAAGCTTAGGAGCGGAAGAGTGAGCATGTTCTCTGCTAAGAGAAATCCCATTTTTTACTTTAATCATTAACTTTGTAATTGGTGAAACTATGGAAAGATTGATGATGTAGCCTTAATAATGACGTACAGAAATCACATCTTAATTCCTCAAAGCAGTTGTTTATATAAAACTATTACAGTGTGTCTAGAGCATATTTAATAAATGTGTGGATTTTCTGAAAGCTGTTGGACATCTGCATATGGCAGGTATTACAGTGCATTGTGGTGATTTGTATAATTTTTGTCTGCCTTTCATCAGGATGTCTGTCCTAGGTTGCTGATTTCCTGTCGATTAAATTAGGCCAGTACCAGAAACGTTGTCATTGCCTTCAATCAAATCTAACAGATTCATAAGCTTTAGAAGCGGGTATAACTCATGCCCCTAGAAGTATTTCATGGACTTCTCTTGGGCAGTCTGATCAGCATTTTTATAGATCAGCCGTTGTTACAAAGGTATTTGAAGTGTACAAACATGTTGTACTTAAGAAAAGATTCAAAAATTTCTCCTTCTCCCCACATGATCAGAATGACAACTCATACACACTAATGACAGCCTCATGGTGCTGTCAAATACCATGTCCTTTTACTGTGATTAATGATGTTGCCCTCATATGGTCCAGCAGTTGGGGGCACCATTATATTTCTTGCATCTTGCTTGCCTGTTGGTGGTCCTGTACTATTTTTTTTCTGAAGGTAGATGTAACACTTCTCTGACAGTTAATCCATGGTGCTGAAAAACACACCTCAGATCTTGGAGGTAATTTACACCTAAATATATCAGCTTCTGTCAGTAACTTTTCTTTGAAATAGCTCAAATAGTATTCCCCCTTAGGAAGCTTTCCCTACACGTTTTCTGCTAAATGTTTGCTGAGTGAGAGAAATAGGGGTCTGTAGTTAAAACTGCTGCCACGACATCTGCCTGGAACACAAGAGACAACTTTGCCAAATACAGAGGTGTTGTGGTTTATTGTGCCTGCTATCTGTACGTACAGGGTAATAAAAACACTCTGGAAGCATGTTCTTCCAGAGGATGAGAAACACAGATAGCACAATGCAGTGTACTTTTCACTGTACTGAGAGAGACTGTCTCTTAAGGAAAAGCTGCCATGAGGGCAATTCTCCCTGCCCAAGCTCCTGTAGGCTTTGCTACCTCTGAGGAAAGTGGCTGCTGCACCACTTTTTTGTGGGGGACAATGTACCAGGCTACAAAAGAGACAAGCATGTATTGGTCCCTTTTTCTGCCCTCTCTTTTTCCTGGCCTCCTTTTCACTTCTCACCACAGCATGGACCAGTGTTTTCCAAATGGGATACCTGAATCTTGTTTGTCTCTGTCTGGGTACATGTCATCCTGTAGTCCTTGGACATGTTAATCCCAGCTGCAAAATTACTACTTGCATTTGCACATATAGGCAACATAGTGTTAGGGATGTTCCTGCTGAAGTTTCATCTCTTGATGTTGTCAGGACATTTATGGAATTTTCATGCCTAAAGGTTTTTCCAACACTATGAATTTTCATTGTCTAAATTAATACATAGTCAATAGGAGAGAAGGCAAGAGATAAATAAATTACATGAACATTTTATTTATGGGGTTCAACTTTTAGCTGTTGACAGATAAATTATTTAACAAGGTTTGCATTTATGAAGGATATTAAATAAGAGGGAAAAAAAGGTTTTTTTCTAGACTTGATTATTCAAGAAATCTGGCTTTTAGTAAGTTCACTAGTTTAGGATATGACATTATAAATGCTTTCAGTTATCTTTTCCAACCTCTAGAATCTTCCATTCACTTGCTCACTACTTACTTTTGACAATCATTTGCTCAGTGCTGTTTGCTGCTTCTCTATTAGAAGTCTTTTGTGTTAGCTTGCATATGCTTACATGTTGTGAGAACTTTCATTAGCCTTGTACAAATTTTGTAATACATATAGTGCCGAATATGGCTAATGCAAGTGTATGAAACCTATAACTCCTAAATACAATTGCTTGTATTCTGCGCAGGTGGGATGTGGCTGTTTTTCCTTTGTGTATCTTCCAGTTTCAAAGCTAGACAAGCATTTTTACATGTCTTGTAGGGTTTTTTGTGATTTTTCGATCCTCTGATCCTCTCCTCACATGTTTGTGCATATCCATGTTGCAAATTAAATACGATACTAATGAATTAGAGGAAATGGAGACACAATAATTCTGTATACTTAGATACGAAGATGTGTGAGCAACTTCTCCTTTGCCCCTTAGGCAGATATTTTGTGTCTCATAGTGACTGAATCTTAGGGATCAGCAGAAATGCTGAGAATAATGTTTGGCATTACAGGTCATTCACCTTGCCACCTTCATGGAGGTTTCCATAATGTGGACTACTGTTTACTAGTAACTATGCTCAAGTCCATGTGAGTTTTGCTTGAGCTTCTGCTAGGTAGTAGTAACTTCTTGTCTCTACTGCTCTTGCTAGGAACCACTTCTTCAGGAAGACAAGCGTAGATTAGAATAATTTTAGATTAACATTGCCTGAAACAAGCAGAATTTAGAATAAACACATTTTTGTGTATGATTTACTGTTTTACAGAAAGAATTTGCCTAAAATTCATTATGAGATAGGAACACCCTAAGTAGAAAACTGTGCCTCTAGTTGGTATTGCATGTTACAGTTTATACATCTTAGATTACATATAAAAATATGTGGCAGAATATAATTAAGCAATACACAACAGTTTAAAGCTGCAAATAACTAATTGGCTGGTGATGTATAAGCCAGATCTGTGATTACATCAGGATTTTCCAATGAATTGATTAATTTCATGTGAATTATTGCATAAGCAATGAAGGAAGAATTAAACACAGTACTTAGCATGAGCGCAACTGTATTCTATCCTGCTACATACTTCCAGTGTGACTTCAGGCAACCCAATTAACCCCTTAAACCTCCTTTATAGTCTCAAAAATTGGTATAACCAGTCTGTATATAGGCAGTGCTGTAAGATATAGGTCATTCCTATTTGTTAAAGCACTTTGAGATTCTTGGATGGAAAGTGCTCTATAAATGCAAATAGAAAGGCAGACTTCTAACTGTGCAGTTTTAAAACCCTCTGCATGTTTTTCTAATTTACAAGTCTTTTTATTGATCATGCCATGAAAAAAACAGACTAACTTACTTTTTCAGTGCAATACAGAGAACACTTCTCCACGTTCACAAGTGACCTCAAGTTCAGAACATCTAACATCATGTATTCAGACACCCTTTTTTTTCCTGTAATTTTTCTTGCAACGAAAGAAGGAAATATTCTCCACGTACATGCGACATATTTGAGCAAATGAAACCTGTTCTGATTTCTGAAGCTGTGTTCTAAATTTCACACATTCAATTTCTTCCAGATCACCACAGACCTGAGGCAGCGTTGCACAGACAGCCATACTGGAACCTCAGCCTCTGCACCAATGGCTGCAGGCATCATTGCACTGGCACTGGAAGCAAAGTAAGATCCGAGTTACACTCTGGAAAAAAAAAAATAAAAATGAACCTATGGAAAGATCTTTCTCACTCATTCAGCATCTTTATCCAGGGATCTCAAAGTGCTTTGGAAACTCACAATACACTTCCAAGGGCAGGAAAGATCTGTGTGCTTATTTTGCATGCAGGAAAGCTGACATCCTGGAAATGATGACAGTGTTGAAATAACTTGAAACAATGTTGATCACAGATAGTTTCCACTAAATGATGTGCAGCATCCTCACAATGTCTTACACTATCCTCGCAGAGCTACCCAGATCTGCTGTGCTCTACGTTCATCGCCTCTTGCATTCATCAGGCTCCTCTTAGCAGTGTCCATTCTTGAACACTGGAGAAAGTTTTAGGATAGTGTTAGGCTACCATGAACAGAAATTAATATAGTATGAAAAATAAAAATTCTCAACTTCTGCATGCTGACACAAGTCTGTTTTTTCTAATGGGCTAAGCTTCTCAGCTGTAAAAAACATTGTTATTGTTTTCTGAGCTTTAGCTCAGAAAAGTTTCCATCTTACAAGCATTTTCTCAGCTGTAGAATTTTGTTCTCTGTGTCTAATATATACCTTTAATGTGCTTCATGGAGCAGCAGAAGTAGTGGATATTTATCAAGTAAATCTGTATTTCAAAACATTTTGCATTACTTTGCAGTGTGTTGGATAATACTTGCAGGTCTAAGGTGGAATCCTCGACCCTAAATCCTACTTGACATCAAATGTTTGAGATTAATTCTATTAAATTCTGAAGAAAGCCAGTTTCTTCTGGGGGTAATCAGTTCCTTTGAAGGACATAAAAAAATTTCACACCATAGTAATTTCAAAGTATATGTAATTCATAGAAGCAGAATTATGTTTTCATCTTTAAAGCTGCTTTTTTTAAGAAACCATGGGCCTATATTCAACACAGAATACTTTTTTGCTGTAGAGTCATATTCATGAGAATAAGAGCTAGTAATTGAAGATATGACATTATCTTAGTGCAGTGCTTGTATCATTACAATTAGATTTTCTTAATGAGTCATTAAAAACGGTATTTTGAAAAGTTAATATAATGCTATTGTGAGGTTTTTAAAATCTTTTTAATCTTTGCTTAATCTCACTTTTAAAATCCTTAAGTTCATTCTAAACAATCTTCACATGCAAGTAGAATTGCATGTGCATAAATTTCATTCTGCTGAAAGTTTTTCTAATTATTTCTTAATGAACAGAGATTACTTGTAAATTATTGTTTGTATTTTATATACTATTTTGTGTGCATGTTCTACCAAATGATTGTTGTAACTGAACATCTCAGAGAATTATAGCACACAATACCTACAAGCAAGCTATTGCTGTGACGTCTTAAAACACACTGAGAAGCTTGCACTTATGCAGTCTTTTTTCTCTGTGGACTTTGGTAACTATACGAATGGGAAATCCATGTTAGTGCCTATGGACTAGTATTTTTTTTTCCAAATGAATGGTTGCTATGATAGGAACAAAGGCAAGACTGTATTAAGCTTCACATGCAGACATGGAGACAAAATATGCCAGTGACTAAAGATCCTAGTCACATTTCTGTATTGTACTCTGTTGCACAGTGCTAACAAGAGATTCAGGGTGAAAATATATTGATTTTGCCTCCTTTCAGATTTTATTCAAATTCAGTATATGGAGGATTCTTATTTCCAAATCTTATCCTTTGTATTATAATAGATCCAAAGAACTTATATTAATAATATCATAAATGTAGGTTTATTCATGTGTATTCCATTAACTAGCTTTTTTCTCCTATGTGTATTTAACACCAGTTTTCTGAACACAGCCATGAATAAAAAAAAAAAAATAAAAAAGAAAATTGGGGAGATAAGTATTTCCACATTTCCCATGCTTTTTTTTCCTGTAAAGTAATCCAGTCCTAGGGTTGGAAAAACCTTTGGCCTTGTGAAGTTATATGTTAAGAAATCAGGCCTTTAATATTACAATGAGATCTTATCATAATATATTGTCTGGGATTTATTTGTATGAAATCTGTTCAGATTATTTTAAGTAGCTTCTGAATTCTAATTCTTATTTATTTATCTGATTTGAAAATTCAGGTTATATTTTTCACCTATGATACATGCCAATTTAGATGATACTAGATAAATGCTAGGATTTAAAGAATACAAAAAGAAGCTTTGAAGCCACCTTAAATATTTTCTTCAATCCTCTTAAAATTTATGATATGTAAAGGACACATGATATTGTGGCTTAGCAGAAGAGCTTACTTTTGCTACTTGTTTGCATTCAAACAGAGTTTACATACTTCAACACAGATTCTTCCTTAGATTCCATATTAGTGTCAGTGCTAATATCACTAGTGTTTATATGATATTTTTTTTAAAGAATAGTTGGGAAGGGATTTTGTAAAGTCTATTATGCCTTTCATACAGCAAGCTGCTTAAAAATTGGAGCACTTAGTCCTGAACACTTCTTGAATATGTCTGTAATAATATATGGTTTCATTCCACTTTGTGTTGGAAAACACAGGTTATACTGTGGAAGGGTTTTGAGTCTACGAGGTCGGTTTTCCCCAGTAGCCAAGTTCTTTTTCCTGGGAGACATCAGGAGGTGAACAGAGCGCTAGTCTGGCCTGGATATGAGTTAGAACAGCCAAGAGGTTGCTTCAACTCACATTCAAAGGTACATTAAAACAATGGAAAATGAGCAAGGCTGATTTCTACTCCACTCTGCCACTTTCTTTGATAATCCTCATATCATACAATTGGCAAATAACTGACGGAGGACCTCTTACCTGCCTACTGATTTGAACCCTCCACTTAGTTGTTTTTACTAACTGGGATCTGTTCCTGGAATCCTGTCAAATAAAAGTATGGGATGGTGGTCTGCTGACTACCCCTATTTCAAATAATATGTACACATCTTTTTCTATTTTCCACCCAGTATTTGATTATTAAGTGACATGTTTTCCTTCAGGAACCAAAGCAGTGTAACTGAGTTTCAGACTGCTTGTTTGGAATCCCTGAGGGTGTAATGCAGAAATGTAGATGTGCAACAGCTGTCGCACAAAGAAAGACATCTCAAAATCTTACTATTCTTTGGTTTTCTTCTGTTATTCAGGTGGTTAATTATTTTATCTGATGGTTCCCAATGTATCTAGTACCCTGTTCAGGCTCTATTAATAAATGCTTGCTTGTGTATTGCACTTCTTAGTCATTATTCAGTGTTGAATTTTGCTACTTGTAAAACAGCAATTATGGATATAATCGATCTAGGCAGCAGAGGCAGCAATGTTCTTACTAAAAATAAAAATAAACTATTTGCATTACATAGTACCATCTACCCTTGATATCAGAAATACCATTTCTCATTGATGAAACGTTTGAATTTGAGATTTGGGTGAATCAGAGTCAGGAGAGACAGTATGCCCACATTCATTCCAGTGTGCATTGTGCCCTGTTCCTTTGAATAAGCCAAATGAAAAAACCAAAACAAAACAAAAAAACCCACAACAACAACAACAACCAAAAAAAAAACCACCACCAAACTTATATTGCTGATGGAAGAATACATTAATACATTATACATCCCCAATTGAAGTGATTGAACTGCATGCTCCACTATCTATAAGCCAATGCATGTTTTCCAACCCATGGTATACACACTGCAGTTACCTAAGTATGAAGTAGTACCTGAAATTGAGGTCTTAATCAGCTATTTCTACTGTGTGGTATACTCAGTGGTATAGCTTTGGAGAAAGTCTGTTTTCTTCCATGATTCTCTTCACATGAGTTATATACCTCATTTGTCTTTGGTTACATGCAACCAAGACTAGAACAAGGTAGTGCTGGGAAGAGATAAAGAATTTCAATTAATTCTGATACTGACGATCCATTCAGAAAAGTGACAGTGCATCACATTCTTCTAAAAGACAGTACAAGGAGGTATAATCACTGAGTTGAAAGGAAAATAAAGTTCACATTGCAAGAGGTCAGGATTGTCAGAGGATTCTGACAATTTCTGAAAACTGCTCAGATACTTGCCATACTTCCCATACTGATCAATTTTCTTACAGAAAGGAGAAAAGCAGTGTACTCTCTGGCAAGGGGCAGTTTTTGATACAGAGAACATATTCTGTGTCATCAAAGTTATGAGGGGCTTGCTTGTTCATAGAGGCTAAAGTTGATGGCACGATTAAAGTGAACTCTCGAAGTGTTGTCAAGTGACCTCTATATGTAGGCTTCCAGTGTAAGAGAAGGAGAGATTATCATCAGTCCATTAGCTTTAACTAGGTCTTTGCTCCATTGATTGGCTGCTTGTTATAAAAGGGCATGCTTGAGTGTGTGAGTTAGAAATCTTTTTGTGAATATTTGCATATTTGGAGTAGTTTTAAAATAATGCTCTTAATGGTAAAGTGTTTGAAAAACATAAACACAAATAAATGCTTAATTTAGAACCTGTGTTTCTCTTGAGCTTTAACCACCTGCGCCACTTATGCAATTTCAGTTATCATCTTGAGATTGACTTGGAATCACTTTCCTGAATTCAGGTCACCCTGTGTTTCCCATTTTAAGGTCCTGTTTTCAGTTACATGTAACTTTGCCAAAGTAAAATAATTTGGTCTGAAATTTTCCATGTAACTTGCTTTAAAAACATTTTAAGAAAATTCCATCCAGACATTTCTTAAAAAAAAAAAAAAAAAAAAAAAAGTTTGACTGTGATCTTTTTAAACTTTTTCATTGAGTTTTACTGTGTCTGTGCTTTGGAGCAACAGCTATAAATAGAACAAGTGGATAGCCGTTGCTCTGGTGCCAGGGCAATGCCTTTTACTTTTATAAGCTTTTCAGAAATCTCAGTTGGCATGTGCTCAGTTAAGAGTTTTAAGAGCTTGGCAGCTCTATCCACTGTAGTTTCTTGGTTCTCCAAGTGTTCCCCAGCCTCAGCTTTTAGAGGCTTCTTAGGGTTGTCTCTGAAGTTGTCTAAAGGGTGC